GGCAGGCCAGGCACATGAAAATGGCGTCCACGTTCTGGCTCTCCTTAGGGTCCTTGGCCGAGGTCTCAAACAAAAGCATGTTGTGAGCGTCGGCGAACTTCAGGGCCATGCTGGATGGCACTTGGATCAGGTCTTTCAAGTCACACTTGTTCCCAACGAGCACCCTGGGGACAAGGGGGGGCACCGCGTGCCCGTTGCACTCCTCGATCCACGTCTTGAGGTTGGTGAAGGAGGTCATCTTTGTGACATCGTAAACGAAGACGACGGCATGCACGTTGCGGTAGGAATGCTCTACCACGCTAAAAAAAACTTCCGAAACCTCTCCTGGCCAGCCGTGTCCCACACTTGCACCTAGGAAGCAAAGCAGATAAGAAGGAAGGCTGCAGGAGCGCCGAGCGTCCACCCCGAGGCCGGGCCTGCGGCGTGAGGAGCCCGCTGGCTTGTTGAACTCCCTGCGGGGAGATGGAGGAGGGCTTCCTGCTGGTCCGTCTTTGGTGGCAGTGCCACAGCCCCGGGGCAGGGCGCAGGCAAGGCGAGCCTTGAGGGAGAGGCAATCTCTTACTAGGTGAACCAGGATCGACGGATGAGTTACACAAGCTTTTGGGCCTATGCTGACAGTGCCCAAGGCTATACATGACGGTGCACGTGCTTGTGTAATTCAACCAAGCAAGCCCAGCTCACCTTGTAAGACAGATCACGTCAGCACTTTCATTCAGGGAGCACTGCTCCCGGCTTCTCATCCTTTTCCCAATGCACTTGACCGCCATCCCCACCACAGAAATGAACCGCGCAAAGCACTTCTCATTTCACAAGCATTCTTGTGCCAGATCGGGACATTCGTCCGCCTAATCCTATGCCATAAAAGAGAACCCTGACAATTACATAGATGTATGCACAGAGGAGTCAGGGCAAAGAGAATAACGAGAAGGGGGAGCCACCCTTTGTGTGAGAGCAGCGGGAGGGCATGGAGCTCTGCGTAGGGACGAGTGAGGAGCCAACTGAGAGCAGACCAGCATGGGTGACATTGCCAGGGGTGTCTGCTACAGGCCACCTGACCAGGAAGAACAAGCGGATGAGGCACTCTACAGATAGGAGCAGCCTCATATTTGCAGGCCCTGGTCGTCATGGAGGACTTCAATGACCCCAATAGCTGCTGGAAGGACAACACAGCAGGGCACAGGCAGTCCAGGAGATTCCCAGACAGCACTGATGACAACTTCCTCACCCAAGTGATGGAGAAGCCAACAAGCTCCTGGGCTGGATGACCAGACAGTGAGGTGGATTGGAACCTGGCTGAACATCTGGGCCTAGAAGGCGGTGATCAGCGACACAAAGTCTAGCTGAACGCTGGCAACTAGCAGTGTACCCCAGGGGTCAATACTGGGCCCGTCCTGTGTTCTACCTCTTCATTAATGATCTGGGGCAGGCTGCACCCTCGGCAAGCGTGCAGATGACACCAAACTGGGAGAAGCATGGCTAGGATGCGAGATGGGTGTGCTGCCATCCAAAGGGACCTCAACAGGCTGGAGAAATGCACTAACAGGAACCTCATGAAGTTCAAGAAAGAGAAGTGTCTAGTCCCGGCCCTGGAATGAATAACTCCAGGCACCAGTTCACGCTGGGGACCATCCAGCTGGAAAGCAGCTTTGCAGAAAAGGACTTGGGGGTCCTGACGGACAGCAGGTTGAAGATGAGCCAGCAGCGTGCCCTTGCAGCAGAGGTGAATGGTATCCTGGGCTGCATTAAACAAAGTATTGCCAGAGGCCGAAGGGGGTGATCCATCCCCTTTATTCAGGGCTGGTGAGGCCACACCTGGAGTGCTGTGTCCAGTTCTGGGCTCCCCAGTACAGGAAAGGCATGGACTGGAGAGAGTCCGGTGAAGGGCCAGGAAGATGATGAAGGCACTGGAGTGTCTCTTGTATGAGGAAAGACTGAGAGAGCGGGGACTGTTTAGCCTGGAGAAGAGAAGGCTCAGGGGGGAAATCTTACCAATGTGTATAGATACCTGAAGGGAGACTACAAAGAGGACGGAGCCCGGCTCTTTCCAGCGGTGCCCAGTGCCAAGACCAGAGGCAGTGGGCACACACTGAAATGCAG